TTGAGAATGAGATTTGCTGTGGGCTTTTCATAGATGGCTTTTAAGATGTTGAGGAATGTTCCCTCTATCCCTACACTCTGAAGAGTTTTGATCAGGAATGGATGCTGTATTTTGTCAAATGCTTTCTCTGCATCTAATGAGAGGATCATATGGTTCTTGGTTTTTCTCTTGCTGATATGATGAATCACATTGATTGTTTTACGAGTGTTGAACCAGCCTTGCTTCCCTGGAATAAATCCTACTTGGTCATGGTGAATAATTTTCTTAATGTATTGTTGGATCCTATTGGCTAGTATCTTGTTGAGAATTTTTGCATCCATGTTCATCAGGGATATTGGTCTATAATTCTCCTTTTTGGTGGGGTCTTTGTCTGGTTTTTGAATTAAGGTGATGCTGGCCTCATAGAACGAATTTGGAAGTACTCCATCTCTTTCTATCTTTCCAAACAGCTTTAGTAGAATAGGTATGGTTTCTTCTTTAAACGTTTGATAGAATTCCCCTGGGAAGCCATCTGGCCCTGAACTTTTGTGTCTTGGGAGGTTTTTGATGACTGTTTCAATTTCCTCCCTGGTTATTGGCCTGTTCAGGTTTTCTATTTCTTCTGTTCCAGTTTTGGTAGTTTGTGGCTTTCCAGGAATGCATCCATTTCTTCTAGATTGCCTAATTTATTGGCGAATAGCTGTTCATAATATGTTTTTAAAATCGTTTGTATTTCCTTGGTATTGGTAGTGATCTCTCCTTTCTCATTCATGATTTTATTAATTTGAGTCTTCTCTCTCTTCTTTTTAATAAGGCTGGCTAATGGTTTATCTATCTTATTCTTTCAAAGAACGAACTCCTGGTTTTGTTGATCTGTTCCATAGTTCTTCTGGTCTCAATTTCGTTGAGTTCTGCTCAAATCTTTATTAACTCTCTTCTTCTGCTGGGTGTAGGATCTATTTGCTGTTTTTTCTCTAGCTCCTTCAGGTGTAAGGTTAGCTTTTCTATTTGAGTTCTTTCCAGTTTTTGAATTTATTGCGATGTATTTCCCCCTAGGACTGCTTTTGCTGCATCCCAAAGATTTTGAATGGTTGTATCTTCATTCTCATTAGTTTCCATGAATCTTTTTAATTCTTCCTTAATTTCCTGGTTGACCCTTTCATCTTTTAGCAGGATGGTCCTTAACCTCCACGTGTTTGAAGTCATTCCAAACTTCTTGTTGTGATTTAGTTCTAATTTCAAGGCATTGTGGTCTGAGAATATGCAGGGGACGATCCCAATCTTTTGGTATCGGTTCAGACCCGATTTGTGACCCAGTATGTGGTCTATTCTGGAGAAGGTTCCTTGTGCACTTGAGAAGAATGCGTATTCAGTTGAGTTTGGATGTACAGTTCTGTAGATATCTGTGAAATCCATCTGGTCCAGTGTATCATTTAAAGCTCTTGTTTCTTTGAAGATGTTGTGCTTAGAAGACCTATCGAGTGTAGAAAATGCTAGATTGAAGTCACCAAGTAGAAATGCATTATTATCTAAGTATGTCTTAACTTTGGTTATTAATTGATTGATATATTTGGCAGCTCCCACATTCGGGGCATATATATTGAGGATTGTTAAGTCCTCTTGTTGGATAGATCCTTTAAGTATGAGATAGTGTCCCTCTTCATCTGTCACTACAGTCTTCGGGGTAAATTTTAGTTTATCTGATATAAGGATGGCTACCCCTGCTTTCTTTTGAGGACCATTTGAATGGTAAATGGTTCTCCAACCTTTTATTTTCAGGCTGTAGGTGTCCTTCTGTCTAAAATGAGTCTCTTGTAGACAGCAAATAGATGGGTCCTGCTTTTTTATCCAGTCTGAAACCCTGCGCCTTTTGATGGGGTCATTAAGCCCGTTCACATTCAGAGTTACTATTGACAGATATGAGTTTAGTGTCATCATGATATCTATTCAGTCCTTGTTTTTGTGGATTGTTCCACTGGACTTCTTCTTAAAGGGGAATTTTAAGAGTCCCCCTTAAAATTTCTTGCAGAGCTGGTGTGGAGGTCACATATTCTTTCAGCTCCTGCCTGTCTTGGAAGCTCTTTATCTCTCCTTCCATTCTGAATGAGAGCCTTGCTGGATAAAGTATTCTTGGCTGCATGTTCTTCTCATTTAGGACCCTGAAAATATCCTGCCAGCCCTTTCTGGCCTGCCAGGTCTCTGTGGAGAGGTCTGCTGTTACCCTAATACTCCTCCCCTTAAAAGTCAGGGATTTCTTGTCTCTTGCTGCTTTAAGGATCTTCTCTTTATCTTTGGAATTTGCAAGCTTCACTATTAAATGTCGAGGTGTTGAACGGTTTTTATTGATTTTAGGGGGGGATCTCTCTATTTCTTGGATCTGAATGCCTGTTTCCCTTCCCAGATTAGGAAAGTTTTCAGCTAGGATTTGTTCAAATACATATTCTGGACCTCTGTCCCTTTCGGCGCCTTCGGGAACCCCAATTAAACGTAGGTTTTTCTTCCTCAGGCTGTCATTTATTTCCCTTAATCTGTCCTCATGGTCTTTTAATTGTCTCTTTTTTCCACAGTTTCCCTCTTTTCCATCAACTTGTCTTCTATGTCACTCACTCGTTCTTCCCCCTCGTTAACCCTCGTCGTTAGGACTTCTAGTTGGATTGCATCTCATTCAATTGATTTTTAATTTCTGCCTGATTAGATATAAATTCTGCAGTCATGAAGTCTCTTGAGTCCTTTATGCTTTTTTCTAGAGCCACCAGTAGCTGTAGAATAGTGCTTCTGAATTGGCTTTCTGACATTGAAGTGTAATCCAGATTTTGTAACTCTGTGGGAGAGAGGACTGTTTCTGATTCTTTCTTTTGAGGTGAGGTTTTCCTTCTAGTCATTTTGCTCAGTGCAGAGTGGCCAGAAACAAGTTGTATTGGGAAAAGGAGAAAAAGAGAGGAGAGAAAGAAGGAAAGAAAAGAGAAAAAGAAAAAAGAAAAAAGGAAGAAAAAAAGGAAAAAAAGAGAAGAAAAAGAGAAAGAAAAAGAAAGAAAGGGAAAAAAAGGTGGGGGAAGCAATTAGAAATCAAAAAACAAACAAACAACAAACAAACATACAAACAAAAATAAAAACCACGGGGGAGTATCTTCTGAATCTGTAGACTTTAAGTCCCTTGACTTCCCCTGGAACTGGTCCGTCCAGCTGGTCTTCTGGGGGAGGGGCCTGCTGTGCTGATTTTCAGGTGTTAGCACTTGGGGGAGCTGCTCTGCCCCTGCCTGCTGCAGGGCTCAGCGGGGGTTGTTTACCCCGTGAGGCCCCAGGAGGAACAGCCCCAGTGGCTGCGGCAACTCTGGAAGCCTGGATTCAGCCTCCGCAGGAAACTACGGAGCTCTCCGTCTGCAGGGCCTGGAGGCTCCGGGGCGGGGCCGCTGATCTGCTCAGCTCGGGGCAGGAGCGTCCTTGCTGTCCCGGGCCCTCCCGGCCTCTGCCTGTTCCTGGGGAGGCCGGATCCTGGGCTGTGTCCCGGCGCCCTGTGCTCCGGGGCCTGCACTGTGGGATTCGCGCTCCCGCCCCGCAGCCCCCTCCGCGGAGCCGCCCCCCAAGCCCCTCCCAGCTGCTCCGGTCGGTCCCCGCCGTGCGCGCTGCAGCCCTTAGGGAGCTCGGGGCACTCTCCGGGGCGCAGGTGTCTGTTAGTGTCCCAGGGAGCCCGAGGGCATCCCCGCCCTCCTGGGTCCTGCTCCACCTCCCTCCGGGCCCCTTTCCGCCCGGGAAGGTTGGTGCAGCTCCTGCTTTTCCGGGACGGGGCTCTCCTGTCCTTGGGACACTCGCCCCGGCCTCAGCCCGGCTCCTCACAGGGCCCCTCCCCCTCGGAGGCCTTTTGTTCCTTTATTTCTTTTTCCCCATCTTCCTACCTGGATAGAACCTCGAACTCTTCTCACTGTATCATTCCAGCTGGTCTCTCTTTAAATCTCAGGCCGAATTCGTAGATTTTCAGGATGATTTGAAGGTTATCTAGGTAATTTGGTGGGGACAGGTGACTTGGGGACCCTACTCTTCCGCCATCTTGCCCCTCCTCTCCTAAAGATTGTTTTAAAATAGTTTTGGAGATCACTTAAATTGTCTTACTTTATCAATATAAGTGCTTGCTGTGTCTGTCAAATTTGCATTTTGTGGTGAATTAATGTGAAGTCCTTGAAATCTTCAAATATCTCATGTCCATAGATGATCCTATTTTTAACTGAGAAATCTCTCTCATGTTAAATGAAGGATATTTTCAGATTCTATTGTTTTCTCATAGTTGTTGTTGTCCCACATGAAGGATAAAGATAGTTGTTTTTGCAGTGATAACATAAATACAACTTTTGGTTGGAGCATGAATCAGTTTCCTACTTCTGCGGTAACAAAGCACATAAACCTAGCAGCTTGAAGTGCCATAAAGGCATCATCTTATAGTTCTGTCGGTCAGCAGTCTCACTGGGCTAACATCAGCATTGGTACAGCCATATTCCATCTGGACACTTGAGGGGAAAATGAGTTTCCTTGCCTTTTCCAGCTTTGAGAGGCTCTCTGCCTTTCTTGGCCAGAGGCCTCCTCCTTCTTCAAAGCAGGTAGTACAACATCTGTAAATCTCTCTGACTCTTACCCCCATTTCCATCATCAAATCTTTTTCTGTTTTCCCCTAATAAGGACCCTGATGGCACTGAGTCTACCGGGTCATCCAGGGTTATCTCCCCATTTCAAGGTCTATAACCTTAATCATATTTGCTAAGTCCCATTTGCCAGGTAAGGTAACAGATTCACAGGTTTTGGGGACCATTCACAGGACTGGACATGTGTAGGGGGCAGGCATCACACTGCCCACCCCCAAATAACTGTTTCCACCATGTTAAGAAACCTATGAGGCAGAAATGTCCTTGGGAAAGGCTGGGTGTGCACATAGTTCACAGTTTCAGTCTTTCCAGGATAATTACTGAAATCTAAAGTCTTCTCTAGATGGTCATTGCTATCACTTCAACCCTGTGGTGGATGGTAAGTGTTGACATTTTGTATAAGTCGACATTCATCAACTTTTTTGAGAGGTGGAAATGAGGTACTGGATTTTTCATGAAACGTGCACTTTCAGTTTTGTTAATTTACTTGTGAGCTTATCGTTGCTGATAGGGTTTACCTAAAAATAAAAATGTATTGCCAAACATTACAGTGCACACCCAGGTGAAGATTGGACGCATACAATGAATGACACAACTCTAGCAAGAACATGCGATCTTTCTCTCCCTCTTCTACGGTAAGAATGCTCACCAGCTATGGTTTGCACACATTCCTGTATGCTCAGTATAGAACTGCCCATCTTTCTTTTTATTCTGCTGACTAGTGGCCTGGTGGCCTTGTACATCCTACAGCTTGGGACGCAAGATAGACGCCCAGGTACTGGCAGGGGCAACAACCATTGTGACTTCTCCCACCAAAACCTAATAATTGGGAAGTTAGCTGCCTGAGAACACCTTCTTAGGGAGCCCCTACATCAGGGCTTGACACACAGAGGTGTTGGTAAGCTGCTTTTGGAAGGGGTCAGGAAAAAAGTGATCTCTGAAAGTCTTTCAGATTTGATTATGCATTATAATAAGGACTCTCTTCACTGTGCGTGAGCCTCACAGGTTACCAGACAGACTAGCCCATGGCAGAAGCTGACAGAGCAAAATGGAAGCCAACCACACATATCCTAAGTAAGTCTTTGTTTCTACTACCAATAACACTTGGTTAAAAAATTCAAAATCTAATGGACAATTGCTAGATCAAACAGGATGCCAGGACAAAGAGCATGAGTAAGGATGTCCCTGGGCCAAGTGAGGGTTATGGTAAAAAGCCCAGCTAGGTGGCAGGGCTTTCTGAGGAGGTGGTGAGCAGACACTTGAAGAGAAGGCGCCTGTGCACAGTGATCTCAAGGAGAAGGGAACATAGAGTGCAGGTAGAAAGGACTGGAGCCCTGGAGTGGCTGTGGCAGAGGAAATGGGGAAGGCTCATGGGTAGAAATGTAGAGGGTGGAGGAACAGGCACCATCAGATAATGCAGGGTCTGCCTAGAAGGAGATTCAATTTTATTCCAAGTGAGTGGAAAGCCACTGCAGGGGAATGATACACTATGTTTCAGAATGATCGCTCTGGTTATTTTATGGAGAATGGTCACCAAGTGGTGGCAAGAGGAAGTCGTTGCAGTATTTGAGGCAAAATCTGATGTGGCTAGGACCAGTGTGACAAAATGGAGAGAGGGAGAAATGCTCAGACCTGGGATATATTTTTGCAGGTGCATTTCAGAGAATTTGCTTGTGGATCAGATTCAGGTGGGGATAGAGAGGAGATAGACTCCAAGTTTTGTGCCCTGAGATTCTGGAATGGATGGTAGTGCTATTTCCTGGGCTGGGAAAGCCAAAGGTAGGAGCAAGGTTTGCTAGCTTGTTTGTTGTCTTATGGGAGGAAGAAATCTAGGAACTGGTATAAGAATGTGGACAATGACAGTAGACTTGGGCAAATGGGGGTGCTTGACAAAGAAGTGACAGCATTTGCTTCTTATGTGATGTTGAGGAAAAGGCAGAAGGAAATGAGGAAGCTAGAACAATGTCCAAGGTCTGCTCAGGTATCTGGGTGGATAAGTCATAGCACAGGAGCTTATGGTTTATACATCCAAATTTTCACATACTTCTGAGATATCCAGATGGCAAATCCCTAGATGCTTTGCAGATAAAAATATCTGAAGCTCAAGGGCAATATCCTGATGGACTGAAGAAATTTAGGGAGAGTGGGCATATAGATGGGGAGAGGATCATAGAGTTTGTACTCTGAAATGGGGAGAAAGATTGGAACACTGCGGGGAAGGAGGTAGATTCCTGATGGGGCTTGAGAAAGGCCTTGTGAGATAATGTAAGGCTGCCTCTGGCTTAGAAAGAGCAAAATGGAAAGAGGGAGAGAAAGAGAGAGAGAGCGCCTGTGAGATGGATGGAAGGAGGAAGAGATAATTGGGAACAATTGTGATTATTTTAGCATTTTGCTTAAGGCTGGCCTTCAAGTAGAGACGATGAATGGCACTGATTTATCAGTGCTTTTCAAACTGTTCTTTGTCCTCCCCCAGACCTACTGATTTAGAATCTTCTGGAGTAGAGCAGGGAATAGGCAGTTTATATCACTGGTAGATACTAAAGCTTGTGAATAATAGTGCCAAAGTTTAGGATGTCAATGAAGGTCTCAGGTCCTGACACAAATTTATTGAGTTGTTCATGCCTTACACATGCTACAGGCTCTGTGCTGTTGACTCACAGATAGACTTGTTTTTTGATCTCATCACAAAAGTCTGCATCTTAGTCCAGTGAGCCCTGAACTTGTCTGATCATGAGAATCATCTGGGACCCTTGTTAAAAACACACATTTCCAAGCCAATTCCCTAGAAATTCTGATTCAATGATGTCTGGATCTGTGCATTTAACAAGTTGTCCCCAGGCGATGCTCATAATCCAGCGAGGTTGGGAAACATTGCTTTAGTCAAAGTATTTTTTGTCTTGTATGTGAAAATCTAGGAGCAGATCAGAAGCAAAGGGCAAACAAACCCCCAGCTGAAGAAGCAAAATAATACTCAAAGTCTTCCAGATGTTTCCCTGTTTATGAAGTGAATTCTGGTTTCATTAGCTGCCTTGCTTTCATTTATGCCTCTGGTTGACTCAAGCATTGAGATGATAAAGTACTCTGTAGAAACACTGATGAGAATTGTTACTTAGATTATCCAACAAATAAACGGGCAAACAAGAAGACACAGAGAGGTGAGAGGAGCAAGGAAAGTAAGAAATTCCAAACTCATTTCATTAAAGAGCAAGTAGAAGGGATTTTATGAGCTGAACATGATGTCAAAGTTACTCTGCTCCATACAGTTCCTTCCTTATTTCCATTTGCCAAGTCATTTCTCAGTTTTCTTACAGATACATCATTTCATTAATTTATAATCCGTCACCAAGTCACACTAACATAAAGAAATCTACTAACCTTCCTCAAATCTACAGTGTTTTGCTCCAAACTTCCTCCTCCTTGATGAACATGCATTTGGGAGTTGGTTAATGTACGCATCTCCTATTGGATATACTCCCAATTCAGATAGCAAATCGTCAGCTAACAGGTTTGAGTAGCAAGAGAGGTGGCTTTTTCTGAGCCAATTTGGAGACCAAGCAGCAGTTCTTTGAGTGACAAGGAATTTATTCAAAAATTTCTTCTACTTTTTTTTAGCTACTGAGTTCAGATGGAGAGAATTTGGAGACCAAGGGTGGAAGGAGCAAGGGATTACCATAACTGACCATCACTGAAGAATATAGTGACATGGTGTCAAGCATTGTGCATAAGGTACATATTTGAGACCTGAGTTGAACTTATTAGTTGTCAAATATTTGAGAAAACATCAAAATATCATTATTTCTAAAACACCCCATTTTTTTCTAGTTGCAGCTGAAAACAACCCTTTGGATTGTTTTAAACATGGATGAACATGGATGGAAACCATAGACACTTGGCAAACTATGGCTTCAGGCACTGTCCCCATGGCACTTACACCAAGCACAACATGGAGACCTTGTGACCCTCGATTTTGACTGTGTTTGAAGACCACATCAATGGGTCCTTCTTGCAAACTAATCATAGGCTTGGAATTCTGTGGTGTTTCTTCTTCATCTTCTCCTTTAAAATATCCTTAACCTTTTCCCCCTTCAATATAGTGTTGATTATACATGCCCAGCTCTGATATACAATATTTTTTATTTTTAAAATAAAAATTGAGGAGGCGAGTTGGCAATTTATTTTTGATAAATAATGTAACATATACAGTGGAATAATATTCAGTGAGAATGACAATGTAGATATTTATTTACTAACATGACAATTATTGAATGCATATTATATGAAAATAACCTACTTTAAACCAATAATGGATTTATTATTAACATACATATTCATTCATATTGAATATTTTCAAATACCTTTGCCTACTGTTAATACCTAACTTATCTAGGTGGTGAGACTGTGGACATTGTACATTTTCTTTCTCTTTCATTTTTAAATTTATGATGTTGAACTTTGCTATAATTGTTTATGAAGAAAAATATTTGTATTTAAAGGTTAAAAGGAGCACTTACCTGGATTAACTTTGTATTTTGGTATCTAGGAAAATAGGAAAATAATGATGATGAGGTAGTGAACTCTCTCTGTTCTATCTTTGAGTCACAATATGTACAGGAAAAATCTGAAAGGCTCACATGCTCAGTATTCATATTACCACCTACATGTTGAGCTGGTCTTGAAGTGCGATATTGTAGGAGATAACCAAAGATGTGCAACATAATTTTCTTCCTATGTAGTTGTCTGTTTGGGAATTAATAAATTTATAATCATTTCCTGAGAAGTGAATGGAGATGGTAAAAAAAAGAAAATCTAACCCCCAGAGCTGTGATAATGATTGAACATGAGAATATTTTATAATGCGCTCTGTAAACAAATGTTTTTTCCATTGCAAAAGCTTTTTCCATTGCTTACATGCAGGTTGAGAAGGAAGTAATACATTAAATCAGCCTCCCACACTTATGTCAGAACAAAAAAAAAAAAGAAGTGTAAATCAGTGTATTAATTAGTCTTAAGAGAAAAGCAACCCTAAGAAATGGACAAGAGAACAGACAAGTGTACACAGAATTATCAGGCTAGAAGCTAAAGCCTGGGTCAGAGGGAATTAAACATAGACTCCAATGTCTCTGTCTCTCCAAATTCCTATGTTTGTTTTTTTTCATAATTCCTTTTGCTCTTTTAAGCTGACAAAATATTGAAGTTTAAAGAGAATCATAGTCAAAATTTAAAGGCAAAAACAAAGCAAACAGAAAACCCCTATAGGTACAAGAATATATATTCATATCCTTCTACCTGTCCCTAAGCAGACAGGTACAGAGACAGAGAAGGGAAGTAGGTAGAGACACAAACAGAGTGAAGTCTGATTCCTTTGGCTTCATCTGCTTTGTGACCTCTAGACTGTGGATGAATTTCCAAGATTTTAAAGAATGTTACTTTGAGCTACTGCTATGAAGATTTTCATTTGAGTAAAGAAATTGCATTCTTTTATATTTCACTTCTTCATTGAAACTTTTTTAATCCCCTGAAACTTTTACCCATGATGAGATCATAAGCCTTGATGTGAACCCCTTGATGTCTGCTTCCAGTTTCCAGGGATCCCATATGTACACCACTGTTGGAAAGCTACCATAAGCTACAGGAATTCATGAACAAATACAGTTACATACAGAAAGATTGGCTGAGCTAATAACCAGAGAAGGTACTCAAGGTATTCTAAAGATGTAAATGGGTATAGAGCCAATTCTCTTGATTTAGAGTTTGGGGTAGTAAAATATTACAGTATTTTACATTCAGTCTCTATCTGACAATTGAGCACTTTAGTTCTACCTTTCTCTTTTTCATAAAGCCTATTATTTTTATTTTTAATTTAAATTGAATTAGTCAACATACAGAACATCATTAATTTCAGAAAAACAGCAGCAAGAAATGAGAGAAAAGGCAGAAAGTACATTATAGACTGTCTTTTTCAAAAGTAGCCATAAATCCTAAAAATGTTTCATTCTGTTTTGCAATAGGACACTCACAGATATTCTTTCCAGTTGGCTTTTTTATTTGAGTGTTTGCAGGTCATTCACAAAGTACAGTGTGTGTGTGTGTCCTTTACAACCTTGATTCAATTAAAAGTAAGTGGGGTCAGCAGTCTCCCCAGGCAGCCTGAGACACTGGAATCAGAGCTGGTGATTAGTGGTCAGAGCTGCTGTCAAAGGAACCTGACCAGGTCATTGTCCTCAAGAATTATAGCCACTTCAGTGAAGATAAAGTGTAAGGCTTTCTGTGGCCTTTGATATTTCTATTGTGTTAGGTTATTATTTTTAATCCAGAGGATATTTAGGATTTACAGTTTCTATTGTCAGAAACTTCTCCCCAAATTTCACCTTTTAGAGAATTTGCAAAATGGAACTTAAAGATATACAGCAGCATGTCCCTCCCTTGGGGTTTTGGTCCTTTGCTCTTCCATCCTCTTGGAATCTGCTTTCCACAGATACCTGCAGGGTTTGTGGTTGAGGTGTTCAGTGACTGTCTTTCCCCAGGTATTTCCCATCTTCTCTCTTGGTTTATTTTTCTTCAGAGCATTATCATTGCTTAATACACTCAACATTAAATGTGTTTGTTTAATGCTAGCAATTGATCCAGAAAACAACGTTTACAAACATTGAGGGTATCCAAATGGAAGAGCAGCAGCTTCCTATTTAGGTGGGAAGACACTGCCAGGGGAAAGAGAGACAGAGAAAAACATTGAGGGAGAGAAAGAGAGAGAGAGAGAGAGAAGGAGAAGTGAGGGGGGAGAGAGAAAGAGAGACAGGGACAGGGATAAAAAACGAAGTTGAGAAGAAACATAAAGGGAGAAAATACTTTCCTGCACAAGCCTTGTTCAGATACTCCTAAATCACATCCTGGAGGCCACGCTGGTCCCAAGATGACATCATGAATATTCTTAGAAGAAGGATAGAAAACATTTCCTTAAAAGTTGCTCTTTGCTTCTCAGGTTCTCAAAAGGTAGCACTTTTCCTGCTCTGGACACCTTAAAATGTAATTAAACCAAAGAGTTTAGCATGGAAGGTGAGTGGCAGTCACTGCAAAAGAATGTGCTCAGGCTGTGTGACTTTGGAGTGTGCATGGCGGACGGAGAGAAGAACACAATTTTCATAGATCTGTTAAGAACAACTGAGGTTAAGAGATTGTTTGAAGAGTTGTATTTGAGAACATACTTACATATAGAAAGGAATGAACTTCTGGTGCACACAGCAACACACCAAAATCTCAGGTGCAATATGCTGATGAAAGAAACCAAATACAAAAACTATAGACTGTATGACCCCATTTATCTGAAATTTGGACCAAGTAAAACTATAAGGGCAAAGACCAGTGGTTACTGGGGGGTGGGGAGGGGTGGGTACAAAGGAGCATGAGGAATTATACACTAGGAAGAGTGCATTTTACTAACTATACATCATATCTCTACAAATCTGACTTTAAAAAAGAATTAATAGCAGAAACAACAGAAAAAAATGTATGCTTGGTACAAGAAACTGATAGAATTGACTGCCTCAGGGGTGGTAGAGGGAACGAAGGGGCAAAGGAGGACTACAGGGTTTATAGCCTTCAGGACTTCTTGGATTTTGTGCCATACATACATTCCTCTCATTCAAAAAAACTGAGATAACCAAAAAAAAAAAAAAAAACAACTATGTATGCATGTACTATGGACCATTTTCACATTTTGGTATCTTTGAACCCTGAGTGCATCTGAATGCACGTCATGAGTTTTCACTTATAAGACACATCACAAAATACCGATGTGTCTTATAAATGGCGTCCTACATTCAACAAAGAATACTTTCCAGAACTGATTGGTAGTTCTCTCTTCAAAGCTGAGTTGTTAGAACTGTAACAAATCAACTAGGAAGATCACTGGAAGAAATTCAATTCAAAAACTCCCTAAACAAATACTAGTATAAAATACCCAAATGAACAACAACAAGAAGAAAGTAGAGAGCTGCTATTCTTGCTAGTCTGGAAAAAAAAAAAAAACTTTAAATTTACGTTTCCAACAATACTAAGGGAGTCACGTGGTCTAATATACCCAAATTAATGGGAATCAGACTTGTCCTGTCATTGGAGAGCAATACCGAGCCAAAGTCCTTTGTGGGCCAGAAGGAGAACAGAAAGGGAGATAACTGGCATAAACACATCATTCTGATTTATCAATGGGAAAAGATTGGAATAAAGGCAACTCTTCGAGAGACCTGAAGCCAAGATGCATCAAAGTCAGAAGCAGAGACCTTCCTGGGGGTTTTCATGCAGCTTTAGTTTTAGAGAAGTTTCTGGATAAGTTTACCTCCACCAGTACTTTGTCATGAAAGACAGACTAGAATATGAATTAATCACCAAACACAGTAAATGACATGAAATGAGTGAGCTTGGGGTATTCAACAAGTGATAGGCAGGATAATGGTGCCTGTTGGAATATCATGGGAGAGAGGTGGGGATGCAGTGGCAGTGGCCTTTGTGTATCCTTTATAATGAAAATCAAGAATTTGGGTAATTAAAAAATTACTGAGGGGGCCAGCAGAATGTGTTTTTCTGACTGTGCCACTGATTTGAGGCTTCATGTAAGAAGCATGGCTACAAATGAGATTATACCAAGAGCTAATCTCTAAACCTGCATTAAATTGCCCTAGACCTAAATTGAGAGCGTATGTTCTCCAAAGCAGACAAACTGTGGAAACAACGGTACAGCAGAGAAGGGTCAATGAGGCCCAATCTCTGATGGTCATTAGAATAATCCTGAAGAACTAGAGAGATGTCATGAAAATAACAGCTTTAGGAATTAATAGTAATGTAGGAAAGATGGACCTTTGCAATGCTATGTTAGTTTCATATGACAATGCTATTTGAGACCCCTTTTGAGGACTGGTGAACTAAAATTAGTTTTTTAAAAAAGTGAAGTATAGTTGATACACAATGCTACACTAGTTTCAGGTGTACAATACAGTGATTTGACAAGTCTATATGTTATGCTGTGTTCATCACAAGTGTAGCTCCCATCTGTCATCATTCAATACTATTACAACACTACTGTCTATATTCCCTAGGCTGTATCTTTCACCCCCATGATTTACTTATTCCATAACTGGAAACCAAACTAAAATTAGTTTTACCCAGCATT